CTGTAGGGGTCAACTTGCCAACATCTGTAGGGGTCAACTTGCCAACATCTGTAGGGGTCAAGATAGAACCATCTGTAGGGGTCAAGATAGAACCATCTGTAAGGGTCAAGATAGAACCAGCTGAAGAGGTCCAAGACATCACACCCAACATACGAGTCCCGCAAGTTCGTCCCGCCTGGGAGAACAACGCCAAAGACGCCTGGAAAAGGGCGACGCATGTCCCGCGTCACCATCGCTGTGGCCGTGGTGGGAAATCCAAGCACAAGAAATGCCTGCCCTTGATCGATGGCAGACGCCGGAAAAGTATCCTTTACTACTTTTTCAACACGAAAAATAAAGCGGAAGCCGAAAAAGAGGTCGACATGTCGAGTAACAAATGTATCCCGTTCTCATTTAAAAGTGGAGCAAAAGAAATAAATAAAATAAATAATAAGCATAAGAATAATGCAAGTGTGAGAAGGATGACGACTCCTTTACCACCCAGAAGCTCCAAGATGACCAGGAAAATAAAAACCACAAGGAATTATAAAATTCTCGATTTCTTCCCGCAAATTTTCATGAATCGACAAAGACAAAGCAATACCATCACTACTGCACACAGTGATCATATGAACAAATGGAAAGACAGAAATGTTGTGACGACGGACATGAACATATTCGATAGTATAATTAATAAGAGGGTGAAGAAGGAGGCTCATATTAAGGAGGAATTCAATTGCTGTTATTCTAGTTTCAGGAACATCCTTGAGGATGTGATGGAAAAACAGAAAGGTCCAACTACCATGTGTGAAAGTCAGCATGTGTGTGCAAATGAATCAGTGAATGATACCATTTTTTGTCACTCCTACATCATTCCCTCTCTTTATTCAATGAATCGAGAAAGCGAAAAAGGTATCCTTTACACCTATACCAAGGAAATAATTTCTTCCTACATTTCCTATTTTAACAATTTATTTCACAATCACGACTGTGGAAATGATGATGCAACGGATAGGTATTACCTCCTGAAATTCGTTGCTACTGTTGTGGAAAACTTATGTGAGGAGTTGCACCGCAAGAGGCTCCTCGATGTTCTGCACAAATTTTTGAAAAATTTTAAGCATGCTTGGTGCTTGAGCTGTGAAGAAGAGGAAAAGGAGGAGAAGGGGAGTGGGAACGGCGAGAACAACTCCTTCCCATCTCTATTTCATCGAATTATGGTGAAGTACGGCGTGTGTTCATTCGATGCGTGCATGGGTACACCCCCTTAGCTGCATCATTTTGAAACAGTGTGTGTGTGTTTTTTTTTCCTATCTAGTGCCAATTTTTTTTTTTAGTACCCCCCGCGTGTGCGCATGCGTATATATAAGTGTATGGATTATATTCTTACACGCTATATTTTTGATTTGCCAAAAGGAGTCCCTTTTTTTTTTTTTTTTTTTTCCAACTGAAATATTGGGAATTACCAATTTGATTAGCATTTTTAATAAAAGCAACGATTTTTGTTTAAGCTCAGTTTTTTTCTCACCCACGGGGTGTCAATTTTTTTTTTTTTTTTTCGAATGTGTCGTCGCACATAAGGCTACAGGATTACACGCAACGGCAAGGAATGTTCGGTGGCTCAATCGAAACATTGTAGAGCAAAAGGAACTGCAGCGGAACTTTGCTCGAGAGGGGTGCGTCCATGGTTCATATCATCGTTTTGCAAAAAAAAATGAGCACGTGTCGGATGCGCCCAGCTGGAACTTCATTTAAAGAAACGATTGAACGGCGAATACTCTGTATCTATGTGGTCGCGCGTAGGGCCGTGGAATTGCATACGTACCTTTTACACAATCCTTAACGCGTTGAAGGTGCGCACGATATAGTGATTATTTTTACGAGAACTGCTTGATGCTTTGTGTGCTTGTTGTTTTTTTTTTTTTTTTCCTCACATTAACGGTTGACTACTTTGACCATTTGACGCTTTTTCCGTTTCAACGTTGAAGAGGAATACGCCTTCCTGCACCCAACTGTGTGCTCGGCCTTTTCCCTTTTGTACGCCAAAGTTGTTCTTTCCCGTCTCCCCGTGTGCCGTAGCTACAAGGCGCGTAAGGGAAAAATACATTTTTTTTGCGTTCACTACGCCGTATTTTTGCGAGCACACCGGGTGTAGGTGTTACTAAGAACGGATCCAAGTGTAGGGAAAGGTGCGCCGTCCCCCCAAAAAATATCCTCAACACTTACCACGCACAGGTCACTCAAAATGCGAATTTGCAAGCAGATTGATCCGGTGATCGACATTGTGATCATCGGTTTTGGCGTGCGTAGCCAGCTGTTCGTTGACAAGTTCCTGCGGAAAAATGAGCTCAAGGGAATAAACATAATAATGATCTGCAAAGACAATTTTGTGTTTCTAGATCCCTACGTACAATGTGAAGATGCCTGCAGAGAGAGCTACACGGATGTGTATAATTTTTGCAAACAGAGAAACATACTGTTTATAAATGAAAAGGTGCAGTACGTACACACAGAAAGTCGGAACATCTTTTTTGCCTCAGACAGGAACCCCTTGAATTATGATTTCTTGTTGTGTGACTTTGATTTTAAGAGCTCGGATCTGTTTAATACTGACATGACTCACATGAATATATACCCTTTTCGAAATAAAAATTTATTTTTTTATCATGTGCATGTGATGTATCTCGCGCTACTGCAGTCGACAAATGTGGAGGAGAACAGGATGGATGTTAGTTTGTATCGTCAATGCAGAAGGGACATTATGCAAGGCATCCCTGTGAAGAGGTTCCTTAACTTCCATTCGTACAATGATAGGTACGTGGACGAGATCTTCAACGCTTACGGGGAGGTGAGGCAGTTGGGTAGGGTTATTCGTGGGGGTGCACATAAGCGAAGTGAAGTCAACGCAGGAAATGTGGTTAATGGACGCGTCCTCCCAGATGCCCCTCTGCAAGGCAACAACGCAGACCAAGATTCCACCCCCCGCATCCTCCTTATCACTGACGATAACATGTTTGGGAAGTGCTTACATGCGGAGGTGCAGAAGCAGCTAAGAAGAATAAACGCCAAGGTTAGTTTACTCTACGTTTATGTATCTTCTTCGAAGAACGAAAAGTTGGACCTCCCTTGTACAGACTACTTATTGGTTAAGGAAATAAGGGGAGTAAAACAAGAAGGAGAAATTAAAGAAATAAAATTTTTCAACATTTATGAGGAGGAAATTATAATCAGATATGATGAGTGCATAAACGTTGTAGGGATGAGGTACCCTTCTTATGTATCGTCCTTTGGCGAGGACGCCACTAAATGCTTGTCGGTCAATACCTTCTGCCAGTGCGTAAGAGACGACTGTCTTTATCCCCTTAACCAAGTGAAGAACTACAATGATTATGCGGTGTGTGAGACGGTCTACCTAAACATATACAACAAGGTGCATGGGAACGAGTACATTAGCATAGAACATGTGAAGGCTTACATACTGACCCGTGATACAGATGAGTTAGGTGTTTCCTACCTTCTACCTCCGACCCCGCACCCATTTAATCACACTGTAAATTATTCCTACCGCATGGTGTCGTACATATTAAGGAGGGGCTACTCATTTATATCAAGGAACCGCTTCGTACAAAATGGGGTACTCTCCATAAGGCACAGAAGAAGGGAAATGGAAAAGTACCTAAATGGGTACACGGTTAGTGGTAGCAGGGAGATGTTTTCTCCGCCTTTAATAAGGATTTTTTCTCTTCGTATCTTCGAAAGGGCTGCTCATTATGTTGACCTCCTCAGAGGAAGATTTGCTTCAGAAGATGGCACAAGCATTCCCATGTATGCAAAGAAAGAGCAGCACAAGGATGAGGACTCATCTGGTGTGAACTGCAGCGATAGTGGTAGCACCACGGCGAGCAGAAGTGGAAGTAATAACAGGAACGAGGAACTATCCACCCGGAAGAAATGTGCATCATATGGAAGCGTGCAAATGCAAAGGACAACAAGTTCCCTTCTTCCAGAATATATGTACAGTGCATATCAAGAGGAATATGAAAAGAGATTACTTGTTAGTAAAAAAACGGAGTATCAGGTTGCTGAAGAGGAGGGGGAAAATGGAAAAACCACTACAAGGATAATTGTGCAAGATGGTAGCGTTCAAAAGGGAATCACTTCGAATTGTGACACGAATAGGGAAAGAGTAAATTCATACATTAAAGAAAGCATTGAGAAAATAATTAACCGAAATACTTGCGGAGGATGTGGGTCCAAGGTCCCTTCAAACGTGCTATCTAATTCGTTGAAAGGCCTATCTGTGTACACCTCACCAAATGTATACCTGGGTATTGAAGCCTGTGATGACTGTTGTATATTTGTGCATAGTAAATCAAAAAGGGGAGAAGAAAGCCCTGCACTTGTTCAAACAATAGACTTCTTCAAATCATTTATTGATGATGAATACATATTAGGGGAAATAATTGCCATTCATTGCTTGTCCGATGTGTATAGCATGGGGGGGACTGGCATTTGTGCCTTGTGCGTATTGATTGTGAAGGATAACATTGAGAAAAAGCTACAGCAGAGGTTACAAAATATTTTAACTGGGTGTTGCCAGAAGTTGAAAGAAGAAAAATGCGTCTTGAGTGGGGGCCACACCTGTGCGGGCAATGAGAATTACGTCGGTTTGGCCGTCACGGGGAAGGTCAAAAAGAGACGCATCTCCAGCGAGGATGCCCCCAAGGGGGATCGCAGAGATAGGCCAGATAGGGTGAAAAGGAGAAAGGAAGAGGAGAACCCCCGGACAGTCGCAACAGATGCAGCGGCTTCAACGGTCACGAGTGCTGCAGGTGACCAACAACGGGGAGGCGCCGCCGCCGATGACCTACCCCTCGTTAGCAAAGAACACAGGGACGCATTCGAACGACACCAAATGATGAAGGAGAACTACCTGTTCCTACCAAAGGGAAGCGGAAGCATAAAGACAGGAGACATAATCATTACCACGAAAATGTTTGGCTTTGGCTTCATCATGGCTGCACATATATGTAAAAAGGCAAAAGCTAGATGGATTTACAACTGCCTTGACGAAATGCTCCTCTCAAATAGAAAGAGTGGCTTATACCTTTTGCAGAATAATAATGCGAAAGCTTGCACCGATGTAACTGGATTTGGAGTCCTAGGCCACCTTAACGAAATGATCAAGTGCTCTAGGAGGGAAATTTATTTTGATGCACTCATGGGAAAGAAGTCCCTGCAGGACAGCTCATCACACAAGGAGACACAGGAAAGGAAGAACAGAAGAGTGGATGGTGGACAGGCTGACAATGTGAAGGAATCTCCCATGAATCTAATCGGTGCAAAAATAAATCTCAAGAATTTCATAATCGCAGAAGGGGTTGAAGAGTGCATCGAAAATAATATCTTTTCCTCCATGTACAAGAAAAATCACTACTTGTGTAATAACATTATAAATTTGGAAGAAGCTTCACTGAGTGAACGGTATGGACTTTTGTTTGACCCGCAGACCAGTGGGGGCCTCATGGCCATTGTGGAAAGGGAGAAGGCCGACCAAATTTTAACAGACTTAAAAAACATGGGGTACACGAACAGTTCCGCAGTAGGCGAAATTATAAATGTGCAAGATTATAAATTTAAAGGGGTGCCCATAAGTCAGGTTTCGTTGGACGATTATTTGGACACCACCAACTCCGTGTACGTTGAATGGTAAGATTGTGTGCGGGGGGGGTATTTATGGAGGGGAACGGTTAATTCAATATGCCTGGGTATATGACCCGTTGCCGTTTCGAGTGCCCCCCCAATCCTTTAGCAGTCGAGCCATCCTTTCTGGTACGACCGATTTTTACAAAAGCCCTTTTTTTTTTTTTTTTTTCACCCCGTCACATCACTCCGCCCAGCCGTGTGAGCGCAAAATGCACATACTAGCGTCATCCCCCAGGGTGGGAATCCTTTTGCAGCTTTTGATGTAAACTGTATTACGTTCGCTTTGTGCAACTTTTTAGGGAGTATTTATTTTTTAAAAAAAAAAAATAATTTTTTTACCAAAAAAAAAAAAAAAAAAAAAAAAAAAATACCAAATGTATAATATATAGCACCTCAAAGTGTGAAGCAAAAAAAGGCATCTCTTTTCGAGTGGCACTAAAATGTACATGCGGTGGGTAAGTAATGGGAATTACGTTTTCACTGAATTAGGTAAAGGGTTGTAAAACGGGAGAATAGGCAAGGGATTGCCACATGTTGACCGCCACATGCTGACTGCAACGGGTTAGGGTCACTACGAATGCAAATAAAAACGGTGCGCTATGCCGGAGGGCGGCACCCAAAAAAGGTTTACACGGGCACATTATATACATATATATGTGTGTATGTATATGTACATGAGCCCTTACCCGCAGGCTGGTGCGGTCAAACGCGAGAGAGGCCCAAACTAAATGCACTCATATTGGTCGAGGTTCAACTCTCGCTTGAGCCGGTCCTCAATTTCGTCCTTCCTGTTTAGTAGCTGCAGCTTCTGCATCTTGACCTTGAGCGCATTCATCTTGAACAGAACGCAGAGGTAGGTTAGCGAAAGAAGGAGGGGCAAAAAGACAATAACAAATATAATGAGGAATATCAAAATGATCGAATCAGTTGTATTAATATAAAAATGAACATTTGTAAGTTCCATACCCTGAAAATCATTTTCATCCGAGTATAAACAAATAAGATAATTTTCATTCGTTTGTAAGTCATCGCTTTTTATAAAAGGAATGTAATAAGTGGTTGCAGAAATATTATCATCACTGGAAAAAAAATACTGTACAACATTCTTCGTCAAATTTGATTTATCCGTTTTTTTCATTTTGTTCAATGCACCTGCACCAAGAATGGCATAGTTCCAAAAGGGCGGACACTTCTTCTCCTTATCATCCACATCTCGAACAAACCTCACAAAAATGACTCGATTGTAAGAGGTTATATACTCCCCTTTAATAACCATTTGGTATTCCCAATTGGATGTTAAAAATGATTTTGTATAAATAACTTCGTAATCATTAATTCTTCTCTCTATGTTCATTGGGTAAGAATTAAAAATAACTTTACCCAAGTAATATGGTTTTTCTTCAATTGACTTGTAGCATATGTGTAAATCTAATGGCGGTTTTTCATCCTTGGACTTCTTTTTATTATTAGTAAAATACACAATTGAATTTTCTGTATTAACTACCACTGGGATATTGAATGATTTAAAAAGCTTGTCTAAATAGGCCTGTGATATTTCTATATATAAAAATAAATTTCGAATAGAGTAATTATTTTCCTTGTAACAAACTTTGTATACATTTTCTGAAGAAAAAATATCACTGGGACACTTTTCCTTTTTATTTTTTACTATGTCTTTCTTCAATACGAATGCTAAACATATCGTGTCGTTTTTTTCCTTTGGGTACTGTGACCAATCTCCTGTTATTTTAAGGTAGGTTTTCCCCTTGGGGAAAAATAACACGTTGTCTGGTTCTACATCTTTTTGTATCGTCACTGTCACTAGGAGATCCTGCAACGACGGCTTCGCCACATATTTGTACAAGTACTTCTTATCAATACTGCTGTTAGAATCATAGTATTTTATTTTGGTTAATTTTTGGGAGTACTCTATTTTTTCGAATTCTTCGCATGAGCAATGTGGCACGCGGGGGGGAAGCACGCCCAAGAGGAGTAGAAGGAACAGAACGGTCTTAGCGTAAACGAGTACAGGGACGACGAGTGCGCGAGGGAGGGGGAGAGGGATACACATGCTCAGTGGGGGTTGTCATTAGAGTGGACGGAAAGGGGGGAGTGGCGGCGTGCGCGCTGGGGAGGAGATGTGCCCAGGTTGCCAGCAACGATTATATATCTCTGCCTCTATCACACGTAATGGCGGTGAACTGGACATGGCGTGAACGGAGGACTTCCGCTTTTTACACGACGAGGGTTGGGGGGACACAGTGTTCTTGTGTTTATTTCTCGCTCGGGGGATCTCAGGTGGGAAAAATAACATCTGGTGGGGAAGGATATGAACGTACGTGCAGATAGGGGCATGGACAAATACTGCTTGCATGTATAAACACGCGACGTGATTAATTATGTATCGCGTTACAGGCCGATCGTGCGAGAGAAGGTACGCCTCCTGTTTTGGGCTCGCTCAAATACCTACCTACATAATGTTTCACTTCATCCTACAATAGTACAGTGTCGTTCACTTGGGGGAAGCTGTTGCCCATCGGCACATTTTTTTTTTTTTTTTTTTTTGTCCTCTCCGCTAATCTTATTTTCTTCGTATGCTCGCTAAAGGAGGAAGCACAATTGGGGAGGGGGGTAGGAAATGATCAGCGAAGTAGCATCGCCTTTTGACGCTTCTTCACGAAAACGGCATTACAATGGTTTCAATAAAGAAAAAAAAAAATAAAATAAATAAGTAAATAAATAAACGGAAGAGGGGGTGAGGGACGTAGAGAACTCCACAGAACTGTTGCATTTATGTCCTTTGAAATGGGAAACTTAGAATGCAATAATGGTATAACTAATTCTTATAAGATTTTTTTTTGCCTTTAAAATGATGCAGCACTTTTTGCGCTACGTGGTGGATGTATTAAAAAAAATATTAAAAAAAAAAAAAAAAAAAAAAAGGAAACCTGCAAATTGTAATGTCGCATTGGTATATACCTTTTCAACACGTTTGCAACACTTGTGCGCGGTTGTATGAAGAGTGGGCGCAACCGAGGCATTATGTAACGACTCCGCGCAGGCAGCGCATTTTACCTTGCCCATCGGGGACGCAGCAACACAGGTCATGGACAAAAGAACGATAAACATTGCGTTCGCCAATTATTCATCCGTAGGAAATTTATACATTGTTACATACACATTGTATGTATATATATATATATATATATATACATTTGTATGTATATTTTATTTTATATAAATGTGCGATGTTTGAAGTTTTTTCTCGGTTAATATACGTATGCGTTTGGGCAGGTACTTATGCTTATATTTACGTATGTATACGCGCAAATGCAGGCGCAACTATATACATATTTAAATATATACATATATATATTATTGTACATAATGGGATTATATGCACTGCGTAACTTTGCTGCGCGTGTATATCGGCAGAAATAATGGGGCACAAAAAAAAAAAAAAAAAAAAAAAAAAGGGTCATACATTTTGGGAACAAGAAACACAATGTTTCAAGGGAATTAGTTACATATATATTCGTTGCCGTACGCAGCATACATATTGGACGATACACATGTACATATGTAAGTGGATTATATCTACTTATGTGTACAGGCATAAAATATAGCATATGCTGTGATGGCTTTTATTTATTTGTATGTTTTGAAAGGTTGCACTGAGGGGGTATGTTAATAAGGAGAAAATTCTCTCCTACACTTTTCCCTCTCGTTTTTCGGGAGGTTTACAATTTAATATGAAAAGGTGTTTTTTTTTTTTTTTTTCCTGTCTTGACGGAAAATTATCATGCGGGATTAGTTATCTTCTAGTGGGTATTTATATACATTTTGCAGAGGGGGATACAAATAGATCGTGCGAGGAAGGCATTCTTGCTCGTCACGCGGAGTGGCAATAATGTTCTGATACTGCACTCTGGGTGTGCGAGAAAATGGCGGCCTTCATAAAGAATACCCACATATAAGGCATAACACATATATATATATATATATACAGCGTCCACACATGCGCAGGTGCACAGGCGTGGAGAGGGTGTGATGGTACTTGGGCTGATGAGAAGTTCCGGTAGGAAAACCCGAAAGGGGGAAATGACCCCAGCAAAGCCAGACCTTTGTAACACTCCTAATGGATTGAACTTCTAACCCCCAGTGTGTGTGGTTTAGGGTTCGCCCAGGAAACACTTGAACACGCAATTCTTCTCATTCCTAGAGTGCCGTAAAATGTACAGAATGTTCATGTCGTCCATGATGTTTATGTCGGGTAAGAACAACTGGAACTCGTTGAGAAATTCCCTCTCATGAGTGGTTAGCCCTATGGACAGGCACTCGCAGTACGTTTTTAGCAAGTCCTTCCTGAGTTTATATTCCTCCAACTCGAGTATGTCAAAACAGTTCTTGTAATTCACTTCGTAATTACCTACGACACTAATTTCGTTGAGTACAAATTTATGATGTAGCAACTCGGACAATAATTTAAAATCTTCCTTCCTTAGCTTTTTATTTTTTTTTATTTTTTTTTTTATTTTTTCAATTTGGTTCTTCTTAGCTATATCCAGCATTTTATACTTTGTACTGTCTTCAATATCACAGTAGTCGTGTATGTACTGATTATTTTCATGTAGCATGTCTTTAATGAAGAAATTTTTCGCATTCATGTTGCTAATGGAGTTGTTTGAGTTCCCTCTGCTGATGGTACCTTTCATTAATTGTTTTGTCTGTATGGATAAATTGCTATCATCCCATTGTTGTTTTTCCTGTTCGTTTTTTTCTCTAACTTTTTTTTCATCCTCCTTTTCCTTCTTCTGCAAGGTCATGTCCATCATTGCGATTTGTTTTTTAAATTGTTTATACTCGGGCGATTCGTCTATTTCGTCGTCTTCTGCCTTCTCGCCATCGTTCTCCAGGTGACTGTAGAAATCACCTGCACCGCGTTCTTCTTTTTTGAGGGTAACTCCATTTATCATTCCATGATGGCTATACTGTGCATAATTTTCGTGTTCCTTTTTGACATTATCACGATGGTCATATGGGAAGTAATGTTCACTGTTGTTGTTGTGTTTGTTTCTGTATTTGGTGCAGCTTCTTTTTTCAATGACCTCTTCGAATTCTTCATCCTCCTCATTTTTATCCTTTATCATGAATTTAATGTCGGAGTAGCACATGTCCTGGTTAACGTCCTCTTCAATTATTTCAATCTCTTCTTTAATATTTTCTTTGGCTTGGTTTTTCACCCTGATTTCTTTCACGTCATTACCATCATCTGAACAATGGGGAGTCGTCGTTTCGCCATTCTGCAAATTTATTACTTCCCTACTGTGGGAAGTTTTTTCCTCTTGGTTCTCTCCGTTGTATTCCTTCACGACCTCTACTTCGTGCTCTCCTGCCGCTTCGTCTCCATCGCAGGTATTTTTTCTCACATGGGCATCGTCAGCCTCGCTTATGTTTGTTTCCTCTGCACTGTGCGCTTCTTTCTTCATCCATTCGACGTTGTCCTTAAGGTCCTTCACTTCATTCACCTCGTTGTTTTTCTCCTTATAACTCCCCTTTGCGTTCACGGCGGCTCCTCCTACCATTTCGTCATCCCCTTCCTCATACTCCTCCTCCTCCTCTTCATCCTCCTCATCATCTTCCTCTTCTTCTTCCTCCTCCTCATCTTCATCATCGTCGTCGTCATACTCATCCAAATCATCCTCGTCTTCGTTCCCCATGATGATTTGCGCTCCGGTCATTTTCATCGCACTAAATAACTGTTCCTGCAAAGGCAAATTTCCAAATTTGTTTTCCTCATTTTCGACCATTTCTTCATTTATTACGCTATCAAAGCTATGTTCCGTTTCCCTTTTTTTTTCTTCTCCTTCTTCCTCTTCTTCATCTCTGTCGTCTTTGTTCATGCCCATCATTTGGTCGATTAAATTATCTCCTTCCTCGAAGTCATCATCCGTTTCGTCTTCGTTGGGGTGTGTATTTTTCGTTCCTTGTGGTTTGGACGTGGGGCGTATACCGTCCCCCGACGGGTCTCCACTTGCAGGATGAAGGGTGTGCTGATGAAGTTCCCCATGTAGGGCTTCCTCGCGTTCCCCTTCTGTGACCACCACATTGGCTTGCTCCTTATCCTCCGTCTCCATTTTCCCTTCCCCATTTTGTTCATCCCTGTCGACGCATTTGCCCATCGAGAATTCGAAACTTTCATCGCGTATTTCCATCTTTTCGTGTTCGTGGTTTTCCAGGGGGGCGTGAGATGGGTCTGTCAGGGCGAGCAGTTCAGCTTGTTGTTCCAGCCGCTGCTGCTCCTGTTGCGCGTCCTCCTTCTTGCTCTCGTCCTTGTCCGCTCTGCCAAACTTCCACTTGATGAAACTAAGCTGGTAGTTAAAGTATTTCATCTTCCGCTCACTCTTCGGGGGGTCTGTAGCCTCTCCGTCTCCCTCTCCTGTTTCGGCTACGTTCGTGTTCTGGCCAGACGCGTCGCCGTGCATTTGACCGACCACATTTTCAGGGATTTCCCCATCTGTTCCGCAACCCTTTTCAGCCTCCCCGAGCTTTCCCTCTGCGCCTTCCTCCACGTCGTACTTTTTCTCATTCTCCGCTGCTAACTCGTCACCTACTGCAGCAGCGCAAAATGGCATCATCTCTACAGGGGGGGAAATACTACTAGATCCTTCTTTCTCCACGTTTCGCGCATTTCCAACTTGTTCTCCCAATTCAGGACTGTTCTTCTCTTCCACTGCGCAATTCTTTCCCACAGGGATCCCTTCCTTTCTTTTTTTCTTCTTTTTAAATACTTGCACGAAGTAAATATTCTTGTGGGTTTTCTCGACGAAAAAATTTTTTATAAATTCTTTATTCTCCGGGGAGTGCATTTTTTCCTCAAGAAAATAATTCACACACATTTTGGTGTTGTAAATGTTATAAGTGCTTTTGTCCGAGTATAAATCATACACGTTTGAATTAATCCTTTGTTTAAAATGCTTGTCCATATCAGATAAATAATTGCACTCGTTTTCCCTCTTCCTCAATTTATCCATTATACAATTAATGGTGTATTTTCTTCTCTCCAATTCAAGTATATTATTAATAATATTTTCATCCTTATTGTCTAGCTTAATAGTTCCATCAAGGATATTTTCTATTTTGATCCTATCAAATTCAATATTATTGTATATGTCGCTATCTTCATCCTCGTCCTCTGGATTGTCCAGGTTGTTGCTCTCTCTTTCCCTTTTCATTTTGCTTAATTTCATTTTTCTCGAAATGATATTTTCAATTTGAGTTATTTTTTCCAACTCATTTTCGTTGCACAGGGTGTCTTCATTGATTGTGTTGCGGTGATGACTATAATCTCGCCCTCTACTTCGACTATGCAAGTGCTGCTGGTGTTTTTTGTTTTTTTTTTTTTTTTTCTTAAATCCGTATTTGTTGTACATGTAATAATCACTTTCTTCTTCGTCTTCTTCAAATGGTTCTAATTTGTTTCCACCTCTGTGGAGCATCTCTGCATGTGGAACTTTTCTCGATATAGCTCCATTGTTGCGTCTACTAAAGAGGACCCGTTGATCTCTACAAAGCTTACTCAACTTTGTCCTCCTGCTGTTATCGTTGCAATGTGCACCACGATAGGTATTTCGGTCATGTTCATCATCGATGTAATTTTCATCAGTGTCGCTCTCATCTCCAGGGCAACCACCTCTTCCACATACTACTCTTCCTCCAGGTACACCCCCCATTTCGCTTTCCCATTCATCATCATGTGAGCCTCTACCCAGTGGATGTTCGTTATAAAAAAGGCTTCTCCTTGCTACGCCTTTTCTCCTTTTGCTTGCTCCACTGCCACTTCGCATTTGTTCGTTCTGGGCATAATCCCCCATAGCACTTCGTCCCCCATTTGCATTCATGATATACTCCCTGGTGCTTGAGTAATTGTTGACGCATGACATGTCCATCGGAGAATTCAGTAAAAGGCTCTTATTATATTTCTCCATCATCAATTTGTAGTTGCCGTTGCTGCTGTAATGCAGGTACTGCTGCTCATTATGATGATGATGCTGATTATGATGATGCTGATTATGATGATGCTGGAGTAGCTCTCTCTGACATTCGTGCAAGGGAGTTAAATTTTTGTCACCCCTTCTTCTCCTTTCCATTTGGGCCACACTGATGGAACCACTCCTAAAACCGTTCGCCCCGTCCATCATCGAACCCATATGCCTCCGCTTCACACCATCATAAGGCATCATGTACATATCATCTTCATACACTTTATCCACATCAATGACGTAGTTAACCATTTGCTCCCGTTTTTTGCCACAAGGGAAGCATGAATTGACTGCTCTATCTTCCTCCATGTCATTGTAAAAATTCATCAGTGCATTTTTTTTTTGTAAAAATTTTTCTTTGTTCCAATCGTAATCGACAACCTTGCTGGCACTGGCAGCACATCGTCTGTACACATCGCAGTTGTTGCTGTCGTGCACATCGTCCAGGTCGATAAAGTTATTCATATTTTTTCTTCCCTTATTCTTCATATTTAATTGATTATACATTCCATATTTATTTTCTTGTAATACTTCAATATCTATAACATAATTGGATAAATTTGTGTGTTTTTTTTCTGAGGGTATTTTTGTGCGTACATTTGAAAAACCATTTTGATCAACTGGCATTAGGCTATTCGTTTTGGAAGGCATTTTCACACTTCTGTTGTTAGGGGAATAATCATACAGGCCATTATACTGAGCATGTGTGTCGTGGTAATAATTGCTACTGGGTACCCCTAAGCCGTTGCTACCATAATACTGCATGTATTTATTTGACACCATAGTTGTTGGTGAGCAGTCAATAATTCTCCTTTTATAATTCATATCGATTTTCCTAACAATTTCAATTTTGTTAGTACTTACACTCATTTTTTGTCTGTTCATCCAACAACCTGCTGCATTAACAGGGGAAGAACCGAAAGTGATGGCAGTACCTGCTGTCACGCTGGTCGTTCCCTTTCCTGCGGATGATGAGGGTGTCATGATAATTCTTGACGGTCCTCCTCCTGCAGGCGCAGAATCGATAGCTACTCGGCCAACTGTTCCATCACGTCCTATTCCCCTGTTATAATAATATACGTCATTTGGAGCCAAATATTTTTGCCCATTCAAATTGTTAATAATGGGCATTGAAACAAATGCTCCGTTAAAGTCTTTTTTTTGTTGTTCGACTATCATTGCTGATTTGTTGTCATCCTTTCTGCCTTCCTTTATTTTTGCATCGAAATAATTTTTCATCATATGTTTTGCACAATTTTCCTTCACCACATAATCATAGTGATTTTGGGGGAAATAATTATTACTGCCTCTTCGGTAGAGGTTGTACGCAATGCTACTGTTCAGGTTGAATGGGTTGCTGTAGGCGGCCTTTTTGTCGCTGCGCACGTTTGTCAGGTACCTTTCGACGCTGTTCCCTCCGTCCGAGAAATTGCCACTCATGACGCGCTCGCTGTACCGCATGTGGTACTTATCCGGGGCACAATTGCCCCTGCAGCAGTCACGCTGGCAGCAATTTTCCTGGAAGCAACTCTGCCCACAACTCCCCCGGCTGCAATCAAACGCGTTCGAGTTGTTGAAAGAGTTAAATTTCTTCCTGGGGGGCGCTTCGAACTTTGCGCCGCTGGTCCGGCCGTACGGCTCTATGCAAAACACCAAGTCATTGCGCTGGCGCTCATCCAGATGGTCATCCAAGCGCTCATCATGATGATCGTCACGATTGTAATCTTGCTCATTATCGTTGTACCCTTCATGCACGTGCTCATCCACATCGCTCCCATTCCCGCGCTTCCTCCGCATGCTCTGTGCCCTCTTGTGCTTCCCCCCTTTATGCACACCAGAAACACAGCATGCACATTCTCCATCGGGCACTTTGTCCCGTATTATATTATCCTTGTTATAATTAAGCATTAGTTTATCTCCCTGGAAAATACCCACATCAATAGTTTCGTACTTGCTGTTCATATTGTACACCTCGTCATATGCATTTTTGTACATTTCCTTTTTAAAAGGACGTTTGTTAACGTAGGGATTGCATGTCGTGTTCATCTCTCCAGGGGGACAGTAGCCGCTAACATCGTTGTGGTCCAAGTCGGTGTCGTTCATACGACCACACGGTTTAATGCACGTGGTTATGTCACCACCTCGGGCGCTGTCCCCACCACAGTCACCACTGTAGTCACCGCTATAGTCTTCGCTACACTCGGCATACGAGTCGACATTGGCATCCATATCAGGATCCGCCTCGATGTCCGCATCATTTTCCTCGTCGTCCTGATCGCTCCTCTCCACATCTATACAATCCTTGTTGAAAGTACTGCTATTCCTAAAGGAATAACTGACAGGATTCCTCTTCTGGCTGCGCACTCTGCTATAGCTACTATGTTCCTGTTTGGATTTATTGTATGCGTATTTTCCATTTGAGTATTGCGGATAAGAATTGTTGTTCGTTAAGGTGTCCTCGCAGACCACGTCAGGGTTATGTGCGAAATCATTTTCCACATCTGAGTTGCTTTTAGGCAGTTCCGCGCTGTTCCCATCGAGGTTATCGTTACTCATACAAATGTCGTCGTGATCTACGCTGCTTTGTGTGCTATCATTAGTTCTACATTGGCCATCGCCTCGGTCTTCTCCATTTTCGTTCTTCTCATGGGCACCGTTTTCACTACCAACGCCAACACTAATTGCATCCGCACTGTCCTTATTCTCGTTGCCCTGTCTCTTTACACCGTCATTGTTTCTATCACTCAGATAGACACTGCTCGGTGTGGCAGACGTCTTGGTCTCCTTCTTTGAAAGTTTGTGAAGAATGGAGTAGTACTTTTGCAAACTGTTCTTGTTGAGCAAAAACTCAGACTCATCCTGTTTACCTGAATAATTTATGCTTGGGAAATGTTTCAATTCGCTAAGCGACACGTGCCTATTATTTTGAAAATCATTCCTGTGGTATCCCTTTTCGCTCTCGCCGTTGTTCACGTCTTCCTTGACCTCTTCGCTGCCAATTCCCTCATTGTCCATGTGGACGACGTAGGGCTGTTCCTCCTCGTTTGCACAAGGATGGCATTTCCCCTGGGCCATGTCCTTTCCGCCTAAATCACCAAATGAATCATCGTTCTGTTGGTCCGTGTTCCTCACATAAGGATAACATTTGGTGGAGTCATAATGGCTCCTGTTTTCTTCTGATCTTTTTTCGCTATTCTCCGTCTGTGTGTTTGGATATTCGCTCTGTACATTTGCGCGTTGGTTTGTCTCTGATCCGTCTGCCCATTCGGACGTCCCCACCTTATCATTCTTATGTGACTCCCCTCTCTTGCACCTGTCACTAACCTTGTTGGTCATTTCATACTTATTTTTTTCCTCACGGGTTGGCAAAGGTTCCCATGCGTCAAATTCTTCAAGATAATTTTTTAGATTCTCTTTTTCGTTTTTCATTTCATTATTTTCGAAATATTCATTCAATTCGTATAGCGAGCTGTATGAATTCAGACTTTCACATCTTCTGCTAATGGGTACATTGAGTTGCTCATCGTCTATTCCCATTTCTTTTGCTTTATATTTTTCTCCTCCTTCTTCTTCTTCGTTGCTATTTGATATGAACTTTGATATTTTGGAGAAAAAATTTTTCAGCAGAAATTTATCGTAACCAAATTTTTTCTCGTCATATGGGTGTTTTTCCCGGGTGTGCGTTTCTGTGGGGTTGTTTTGGTGTGCGTCGTCTGAATGGGCACTCTGCTCCCCCGTCGCACCTTCTGCGCCGTCACGAGCGTGATGGTTCGCGTGATCGCTAGCGTGATCGCACACCGGATCGCACTCAACTTGGTGCTGTATACTATCCGCTGTGCTTTCGCGCTGAACTTTTGCCTGCCCCTTTGGACCGCCAGTCAGTTGATCATCTTCCTTCGATTGATGATACTGCGCATCCTCCGCTGTAGATGGCACCATTACCAATGTTTCCTTATGTTCCTCCTTCAGTGGGGTACCTGTGTTCGTTTTCCTAGCTTCACCCACACAAGTATAACCCTGACTGGACCTTGGTTTGTTTATGCCAAATATGTCGAATGTATCGTAACCATCACTACCATCATCCACGTTTTGAACAGAAGGCTCCAGGAAATTCGAACTTTTATCCTGGCTATTCATGCACCTGTTATTGTCTAGGTAGTAATCCGTGCTATACGCGTTATCATTATTGTTGCTGCTCTTTCTACTTTTGGTATTTCTGCAGCTATTATTTTGAGAGTCTTTTAGAAAATTCTCCGTAGGAAAAATGGACTCATGAGCAATGGAGAAATAATTTTTATCCAATAAACTTTTGCTTGTCATTGTACTTGTTTCCAACGGCATATTATTGTCGTAAAACAATTTGGCCGATTTGTATGAATTTTTATTTGAGTCGTAGTCTTGTTCACTCTCCACGAAATTATCATGTTGACTTTCGACCTGGTTGCTGTTGCTACTAAGGATGTTGCTGCTGAGGATGTTGCTGCTGAGGATGTCGTTGCTAAGTATGTCGTTACTATGTATGTCGTTACTATGTATGTTAGTGCTGGTGCAGCTACTACTGGTATTCTGGTTGCAAGTACTTTTCAAGTTGGTGAAATTTTCCTCTGTCACCGACCACTCGCTCGTAATTACTTCATCTTTGCTGTCTTTTTTTTCATGTTTGGCGTAAAAAGACCCGAAAAAATTTAAACTGTTTTTGGATATTTCCGTTTTGGGTGCGCTATGCATGCTTTTTTAAAAAAAAAAATTGTCTACTTGGGTGCACGCGCTCGCGATGGTCGTTGTGGTTAGGGTCTTTGCTAACCTTCTGAATCGTTTCCGCTTCAGCCCCCCCTGTTCTCCTTCCTCGTGAAAACAAGGGAGCGCCGCGGTTCACGAATTGTAAACTTTACTTCATATGCCTGTGCATATTTTGTCACATGGACCCGGTCCTTCCTACACGATTTGCATGCAACACGTGTGGACGGCGCAGGCAATTGAGGCACATATAGACGTACACACATGTGGGCATACAGGAACTTTTATTATAATCTATTTTACACAAAAAAAAAAAATTATGAAAAAAAAAAATTCACTTTACTACTACCCCTAAATTTGCCGACGTGGACTGTTCACCATGTGCACATAGACAAGGGTTCAAAAAATAAAATAAAATAAAACACGCAGAATAAACAAAATGAACCAAATGTTGCTGGATATAAATGTTGTGGGCCGTGTGCTAAGACATCAGCTTTCTCAAAAAAAAATTCTTTTTACAAAAACTGTTTGTAACTGCCTACATACATACGTGCACCATATGTTGCGCACACTGGGGTGATATTCCTCGACACTTCCGCGTTTTTCCTCTTATTCTGTATCCTTCGGTTTGGATGAGGGACACATTATAAAAAAACGCGCGGCAGAGGTGCAGCGGTGCAAATGTGCAACAGGGCAAAGATGTACAGGGGCAAATGTGCAACAGGGCAAAGATGTACAGGGGCAAATGTGCAAAAAGGCAAGTGCACAGACGTTCGTTCGCATAAAGGTACAGAAGCTATTATGCAAATGCCTTGGCGTAAACAAATGTATGAGACTTAAATGTATTGCGCGAATGCAGGTCACCATAAATGGGTTTGCACATCATACATTCTTCCTCCACTATTTGGGCATACGTTCAAGGTTAACACGAAATGCACATGTTGATCTTTGGCTGACTTCTTAAGGTAACCCTGAATGAAACAACAGTATACGCTAAAAAAAAATGTAAAAAAATGTAAAAAAATGTAAAAAAATGCAAAAAAAATGCAAAAAAATGCAAAAACCGCAAAAAACGCAAAAAACGCAAAAAACGCAAAAAACACAAAAAACACAAAAAAAGCAAAAAACGCAAAAAAAATGTCCAAAATATGTACAAAGCTTAATGGCATGTATTCCACGGGGGTGTTTGGTTGCTTCTCAAGGTTGCACGTGTAACACGTACACAATAATAAAATTGTAATGGTTCTGTTCACACGTACATAATATTTTCACGCACAAGCATAAAGCCCGTAAAATTTTACACTCATAAAATTTTCCCAAGGCGTGGAAAATGCGTATGTACATATATATATGACATATGTATCAAACTAAAGGTGCGCACGTACGTGAAATGCATACACGAACTTCACATAACCATGCGTTTATAAAAAATACATACGAATTTTTCCTTATGGCACTTATAAAAGCAAATAAGCATATGCAAAACCACATATATATGGGTTATAAAACATGTACATGTGAAATTACATACATGAAATTATAATGTAATAGAAGGAAAACTGATAACGAAACATAATAAAAAAAAATGAAATAAATCATCTCTATAAAAATTCATCATATTTTTTAACATAAAAAACAAAGATGACCCTGCCTTAAAAAAAAAATATATAATAAATAAGTACTAATCCATCAGGAGGCAATATTTTAAGGAAAAAAAATTACTCTTCAAATTGACCAAAAAATGTACCCAAAAAAAATTTTTTTTTTTTTTTGGTAAGAAAATACAACATATTGTAAATATATCCCCAAAAAAAAAAAAAAGTAGGTTCCCGTGAACACTAAAATAAGTGTGGCACTGCTCATGACACGTGGCACGCCATGCCCATATGTTAATAAGCGCAAAAATACAGTATTGTACGTAAATGTACTTTGTATTATATATATAATAATAAGTATATTTATTGTATATTGTACAATTTGTGCCTCCTTGAGTGAGTTGACTTTTATGCGCGTTGCCCGTCGCCTTCACATGCGCTTGTGGGGCGGCGCACCTCGGGAGGCTTTTCCTAACTGCGGCGATTAGGACTTCGCATTTGCACAAGTCTGGTTTCATTCTTAACTGCAGAGCATTTTTATCTTTGCAAATTTTCCTTCCCAAGAGGTTCTCGCTTTTTTCCCTTTTTTTTATCCTTTTGTACATTACGGACGACGTATTACTTTTAAACCAGTTAAATATATCGGACTTTTATGTCATTTTGATACAGGAGGGCTTTTTTTTGTTGGGGGAAACGTGTAGTGTATATTTCTGGCGAGGCGTATCCCTTTTAATATGTTGGCAATATATGCATATATATTTGGGGTAGTGGATGTGCCCGCCACCCCGATCGGCGTGAAATAGGTTATTATATACACGTGTATACAAATACGCATTATAAAAATATTCCCTATGGGCTTTCTTTTGCCGTCCACTACCCGCTTGGGGCGAAGAATTAATTATTACCAATTTGAAAGGTTCCCCCAATGACGAAAAAAAAAAATATGCCTTTGTGCTTTTCCCCAAAATGTGAAAAAAAAAAAAAAAAAAAAGTAACGCACACGAAGGAAATCTCACATTGTTCCTCGTTCCATCGCCTTTTCTTTTTCACAAAGCTTCTTACCAGAAGTTTTCATGTAATTAGTGTTTTTATTTATTTTTTTCTTTCTTTTTGCTTTTCTTCTATGCGTGCTTTTTTATATGGTATATATTTGTTGGCGATATTGCTCGCACTTCACGCATACATATATATACGTACATAGTATTATTATATGTATACATTTATATATATATATGTAAATACATATTTGCGTATGTTTGTGCACAATTCGTAGTATTCCACGCATGGCCAAGCAAATGTGCCGAGCACCCCCACGTGTATCATCGTAAATTTTACCCACCCTTTGCTATTTCCTGTTTTATTTTATTTGCTGCCCTGCATTAATTCGCCTTCACCCTTCACCATTTATTTTATTTATTTTTTTTTTTTTCTTTTCCTTCCCCCATTGGGTCCACTTGTACATATGCGTTCCTCGCGCGTCATCCCTTTTTTGGCCTCATACATCGACATTCGCCCTTGTTAATTTCCTTTCATTATTCACGATTATGTGATTTGTTTTTCTCTTTCTTTTTTTTCTTTCTTTTTTTTTTTTAATGACTTAATTCGCTCGTAGCTTCATCGAATTAACGCCAAGTGTGAATTGTGTGTTCCCCTTGGCACGCAACTGTGTATCATGCGCATATAAGTGTATCCATACGTGTTGTGCGTGTTATATGCAGAAATTTGTATGAGCATGAGCCAACATGTGCCACTATATTCATATATACACACACATATAACCCTGTTACACTGCTAAGATGTAAAGCAGAGGGGCATGGTTTTTTTTTTTTTTTTTTAAATCGTTTTTAATTAAGAACTTTTTAATTGGTAATAGGCATTCGTTCCGAATATGCATATGGAACTGAAAGGAAAAGTAGGGGGGCACGAAACACAGAGGGATTGACACTCGTGCAGCTAACACGAGCAGGCACACGCGCATCAACGTATGCGCACGTTTATGTAGTAATGTTTGAATCAATGAACAGAAAGAAGAGAGAGGTACCCTCCTTTTTTTCCTACTGACCCAAGGTGTATAAGCATTACGCGCACGTATTGCATATGCACATGTAGGAGTAAGTCCGAACGGGTTGTATCACAACGGGAAAAATATCCTCAAAAAAAAAAAAGAAAAAAAAAAACGCACCTGTACACACCCACCTACCTCTCCACCGTTCTCCTTGTGCATCTCAAGGACCACACTCCTACCTCAAAATGTGCACAATTCGAAATGAATTCGCATATTTTGAAATTTATACGCACAAATGAACAAGTGATGCTTTTTTCATGTCACGTTTAAAAGTTTATCGACCGCCACGTTATTTTATTTTCTCTTCTAATATCAACTGGGGGTGACCTTGTTTGGTTTGTCCTACATTTGTGTGTTTCTACCGCGCGTTGAGTCCAGGCTGATTGGGCACAAAAGTGACGTCGCGTTAGTGCACCGCGACGTGGGTTACCTGCACATTTGTGTTTTTCTCCGCCATCTGGTCAAAGTCACAACCGTGTGTTTATTAGTCCTTCCCCCAAAATGAGCGAGTCAGAGTTGCAACAGCTGCAAGTGCTGTGCGAGGCTATGTATTGGTAAGGAAGGAGCATACATGATATGAAAACTGCGCAGACATACCAGGGAGATTTACCTGTGAATGTGCTAGTTCATGTGGATATTGCATAACGGTAGAGAGGATGAATCCGCTAACGGTTTTTTTTGCGCGACCTTGCCAAACCACGCCTCCTCATACATATTTGTGCCTCTTTTTTTCCCCCCCGTTTAGCGGAAATAAGGAAGAACAGAATCAAGCGCACACGATACTGTTACCTCTAGTGAACAATGTAGGGAACGTAAGTAAATTGAAAAACATCCTTGGGAACACCAGCCATGTGCACACCCTAATTTTCACGACGTCAGGGTTGCTTCAGTTAATAACAAACGAATGGAACAAGATTGAGCAGAACGAGAAGGATGAGTTGAAAGAATTCGTATTGTCCTACTTGTATAATAAAGGAGTGGATATATTAAATTTATCCTCCAACGTGTTGGGCAATTTAGTGAGGTTGTATGTACGCATAGTAAAATTGTCTTGGTTGGAGAATACGAATTATTCCTTAATAATAAAGCAAGTGGATTATTTCCTCAAGTCAGTAACGAGTCATTGGATAATCGGATTGTACATTTACGCAGCACTGATAGAAGACATGCACCCTCAATGTGGAGTGAATTCCGCGAAAAACAGAAGGTGCGCAATATCGTTTAGAGATTACGTACTGAAGGATATATTCAAAGTAGGTATAGAAACGCTTGAAGAGTTTGTAAAGGGAAGTATAAGGATAGAATTAAGAATGGATGAAAATCGTCTGCTAATAAAAATATTAGAATTAATATACAACAGTTTGTCCTTTGATTTTATGGGTACAATGATAAATGATGAAAGTTCTGATGAAAATGTATCCCTCATGATACCCCAATCATGGGACATATTTAACGAGAAGAATATTCCCAAGTTATTTTTCGACATGTATGAAATATGTATGTCTGATGAGGATGACTTGCGCAACTGTTGTGGCAAATATTGCCTGCGATCCTTAATACTCCTTGGAGGGTTGAGGAAAACCTTTTTTTCCAGTGAAAAGCAAAAGACACATTATATGAATGAATTTTTGGGAGGACTTAATAATATTATCGAAAAAAAAATTGGACTCCATGATGAAGATTGTTTTCATGAGTTATGCAGACTGATAGGTAAAATTGACACGAGTATTCGTTTACAAGAATTGAGTACTTACCCAAACTTCCTCTCCTGGTGTCATAACATTTATTTATTTACCATTGACGGAATGAAGAACTGGAAGTACCTCTGTAATAGTAAGCATTACCTGCTGGGTATTTGGAGCAACATGTTAAATATTATTCCAGCCAAAGTGATAAAAGAAATTAATAGCCGCACAGATGAAAATGAACTATTGAAAGATGTCTTAAGTAATAAAAATATTTTCTTAAAAAAAAATCCCATATCGAATAGCTTCAGTTCACATGACATTGATAATAAGTTTTTAATTATTTGTGATTACATATATGACATTTGTATGATTTTTATAAACACACGTTTGGAGCTAGCTAAGTACATTTGTGAAGAAGGAGACAACTGCGAGATGGAAAACCCTCTATACAATGATGTCTTGCGGAGTGAACAGTTGGAGCTCATTTCGAATTTGTCCAAATTACAGTACCATTTTATTGGAGCTAAATTATTGTCCATTTTTTATGAACTCAAACATAATCACGAAAATAATTTGATCAGCAAAACGGTGTTTATTGAACAAACCACTTGGCTTGTTTTTATTATTGCCTCTATCATATCGAGTAGCGCTGTGTCCAATATGAAGAGCGCCTCGTATGACAATTTTAAGATAAACACAGAACTGTGTTTTCTCGTTTTCTCCCTCATGGAACAGACGAACAAATCGCCCGAAGTTTTTGAATATCTTGAATTTGCCTACCTAAACTGTCTGGAGCTTTTTAAAAAGATTTATATTAGTGGGAAGAAAAATAATAACTTTCTAAAGGAGATGAAATCTGTCGCAATGCGAATTGCGAGTCCCTCTAGTGGGATTGGACATAGTGGGGGGGCAACAGGGGGGAATAGCGCCAATCCCCCTGGAACAGATCACCCATTACAAATGTCAAGCATGATAACGCCTGATGGTGTAGGCAGCAGCGGGTTGACTTTTCCCTCTGGAAGTACAACAAATAATGTTACATCAAGCATGATGAATAATAACATGAACAACTTTTCCACCCCTTCGTTAATTACAAATAACGAGGACGAAGAAAATAATGACCCCCTCATAGACTTAATCGTTAGTAAGATCTTATTTAATTTAAACAACAGAACTGAATGCGAGCAAATTGTAAAGAGAAGTCTGGACTTGTTTCATGATCTGGTGTCCGGCATGAATATCGTGTGCTTGGAGGATAAAACACCCAAACTTATAGTCTTCGCTAGAATGCTCTTGAAAAATGAAAAGGTGCTAAACTTACTACACAATCGGGATAGTAAATTTTTGAAAGTGGCAAAATATTATAAGTACAGAACGAACTACTACCTAATATTGACAAAGCTTCTATTCATGGAGCAGAATCTCGTTTCCTCTTCCTTCGAAAAATATATCCTACCCATAAACAACCTACTGGAGTGCATCAAAAGGGAAATAAACTTAAATGGAAAAGATATCATTTTGAAGAATAATGAAATAAAATTGTCCTTCATTGGAGTACTCCGAGATTTAAGAGGAATCTGTATGGCTTGCAATAATGTAGAAACATATAATATGTTTTTTAATTTCTTCATCAATAGTTACCCTTTGGAGGACAACCAAATGAATATTCTCACCTCCTTGGTAGATGTCATATGGGATAACTACAACATATGCATTCCTTTCCTCAAGTTCATGTGCGAGTTTGTTTATAACAAGTCTCAGAGAATCACCTTCCCCAAGTCTTCCCCCAACGGTATACTCCTTTTCAAAGTGGTTTCTAACATCCTCATTATAATTTCGAATAATTTGCTGCAAAAGGAGAAATTTGTCGACCTATATAAAGAGAAGTACAAAATTATTTCCCTCCTTTTGAATATGTTTAATAATTGCCTAAATGGAGATTTTGTAAATTTTGCCATATTTGATTTGTACAATGATGATATTCTGAACAACGCACTAAACTTGGCTCTGAATTTGTGTCTGGTTATCCCTACCAATGACTTACTCTCGTACATTAAGCATTTGAAGCCCTACTTTTCCTTTCTCGATTTAGTTACGAAAAATTTCTTCCAGCGAATTCTGAACCTTGAATTTCAGCTCATTGCAGATGTTATTCACAACGTTAAGGAGGGCCTCTGTTCCTTTGACTACACTGTGTCCATGACTTGCTGCTCTATCCTGGACAACATCGTCACGTACATTTTTACCAACCGGAAGAGCTCCAACGAGCAGGGCCAGGTAAATAAGCGGCCAGAGGGGACCGTGGCGTGCAGTTGCACGTCTATTTGCGCATCATCACATCTTCGTCACCACATGGTCTTCAAATCACCCCTTCCGCACAGATAATAAAAAACTTTTTGGAAAACCAGCCGCAAGCCCTCAAGGAAGTTCTCAACCTGATGTTCCACTTGATACTTGGAGGTACGCGCCATCGCGCATATCCCCCCGACAGAGGAATATTCACTATTTCATCCACACGAGCACATCTCCCCTCACCACTACGCCCCCCGTTCTCATCCCCGTAGGCGATTTTGGCAGCACCTGGAGCATGTCGCAGCCGCTGTTGGGTCTAATATTGCTCGACGCGCAGGGGTACTTCAAAATACAGGAGCAACTCATTTCGCAGCAGAGCGAGGAGAAGAAGCAGAAGTAAGTTTCCTCGACAAAGGGGGAAATGATGGAGGCCTGTGTGGGGGTGAAATAAAACCCGTGGAAGCCCCCCTCCTCTCCTAAGATCACTGTTGACGGTGATTCCTGCCCAACCTATTCAATCGTTTTATTTTGTGGTATCAACTTGTTGTGCGTTTTTCCTCCCCCCCTGTTCAGGCTGAGACACTGTTTTTGCAAATTAATGGACCACATTGAATCGAATTTGGCCCCGAACAACCGGGTAAGAAGGGAACTCCTCTGCCGCGCGCGCGTACCACCATCCCCTTTCGGTTGAAAATGTGACCACGCGGTGTGTGGGGGAAATTTTTTCACCTTTAAAATATGTGCTCCACTTGACCGTCTCCACCTGTCTACCCTTTTTAGGAAAACTTTACGAGAAACCTGTATACCTTTGCCCAAGAAATCAGGAACATATTAATTTAGGAAGACACCGCCCTCTACCACCACCGGTTGAGCCTTTGTATTACCCATTTTGAATATGATATTTCTATTCCCTTTCCTTCCAACCTGGATTTTTTTTTTTTTACCACCCTTTTTATCGTAATAAACTTTTATAACTCACGCGAAAAGTTTATTTTTGTTTTACTCCCCCTCTTTATTCGCCTACTCGTGGAGCTACTCATTCGCCCGCGCGTGCAGCTACTTATTCACTCATGCGTTTTTATCATTATTATTATTTTTTTCACACATGCATTTTATGGATGTATTTATTGTTCATTAAAATGTAACAAATGCAAGAAAAAAAAAAAAAAAAAAAAAAAAATTTTTTCTCAATTCTTTTTTTTTTTTTTTTTTCTTTTAAAGTAGAATAACTTAAATAACACCACTTGTAAATTCTATATGATCTACACTGAACAATGTTTTGTTTTTTTGTTTCCCGCACTTCTTTGGGATGTGAATTTTTGGAAAGGGAACTTTTTTAGTGAAGCATGTTCGGAGGGTGCGCCGTGTGTTTTTGGGGGGAAATTGCTAAAATGGATTTCCCTTCGTTTTCATGTAGAATAATTCTAAAATGGAGTAAAAGGGGGGAAAATAAAAGACAGGGAAAAAGGGCGGTTGTCTGCACCAGTTGGGGCATTTTATAAAGTCCCCCATTTGTGGCAACCACACGTTAAGTGCACATATGAGTGTGTATTATGTAGCCCTACTGCTATTTCTTCCCTGTTTGTTACGTGGTTCCGTATGTCCCCTCCTGCACCTTCCGGACACACCAAAATAAAAGCAACTAATTTGTGCAATTCCTCTGTAGGCTTGTCATGACTTCCACTTTTTCATGAATATAACATAAAATGCGGACACTCAAAATGAGTCCATGTGTGTTCCCTGTCCTCAAATGTGCGATTACCCCTTTCTGTTAAAAAAAAAAATGAAAGCCCCTCCCCCCCCTCGGGTTGAGCACTCTGCATGCATAATAAAGACAAGGAAATAAATGACGCGATGCATAGTGGACAGATGACTAGTGCAAATGCTAATACGAAATGTTGCACGTTGTTATTTCCCCCAGAGCTACATTTTTCTATGTATTGTTTTTCCCGCTCGCAAAAAGGGTACCATAGAATGCCCCAACTGAATTAGCAACGGGATTTTACGCGAATGAAAAAAGGAGTAGCCTCCTTAAGACAACAAGACGAATCCCCCCAACATGGCAGACAACTCAAATGAAGTTGAATTTTGCTCCCGCGTGATCAAATTGAAAGGAAAAAACGATGTGTGTAGAAACAACCAGCAAAAAGTAAGGAGCCCCAAAGTCTGGCTCGACTACTACAATGACGTAGTGAGAGATGACCTCAAGGATATAAAAGCCAATACAATATTTAACGTGAAAAGAGATGTGCTTACGAAAACAATATATCCCAAGAATAAAAATTCCGCTTTATTGCTACATAATCCTTTCGACTTTAATTTGAAAAGAACTCATCATGCAAACGAAGGGAATGGCCCCTCCGGTGTAAGAAGTGCTCACTCCACTGTGTGCACAGAACGGAAGAAAAATTTTTTTTTCGAAGATTTTGTTTGGAATAACGAACTGAAGAGGTATGTCCAGTTGGAACGGGTAGACGGGGGACAAAACAAGAAGCATGGTAAGCAGAGCGGAACCCCTAGGCAAGGCGCCAACTGTGGGAAGAGCACCCGGAGAAGCAAACCTTGCATGGGATTGGACAACCGCGCAGGGGTCATCAATCACCAAAGAGGAAATGGAATAAACCTGGAGAAGTACACTCGTTTAAGCGGTGCAGGGGGGTTAGCAACCCGTCAGCGGAGGAATGGGCCCGTAGCAATCCGACAACGACCCATCGAAGAGCCAAGTGCTAACCCTTACGGGCACCTAAAGGGCCACCCAAACAGTCACCCAAACGAACGACACGGGGCTGACGACCCAAGTGCGGACCCTAGTGCCTTTCTTGCTGCTTACCAAAGAGGATACCACAGCGCTAAGCCCAGCACTTACACAACCTCAAACTACAACCCTGCAGTCGTTGCCTACCCCAACGCACCCACACCCGACGTAGCGCATCAAATAGAAGAAAAACTGAAGAACATGATTTTGGCAAAATCGCAGGCCCTCAAGAACGACACCATGAGAAACAATCATGGAGAAAATATCCTGATGGTCCAGGACCAGAAAAGTGGCAGAGCGAAAATCGTGGCCAATAAAAGGATCGAAATAGGTCAGGTGATTTTTGTAGAGGAGTGCGTCCTGGAGACATCCATCCTGCTGGAGCATCTATGGGACACGTTCAATTCGTTAGACAATGAGCAAAGAAAAAAGTTGGATAAAATTTCAGAGTATATGAATCTGGGGAGGGAGAATAGCAGTGGGGCACACACGCATGTAGGGGGGTCCATATCGCTACCTGTATCGGAAGAACTACTAGCCAAACCGGTGAGCAAAATGATTGACGGTAATAAACACACCACACCACATGGGGGTGAAAAATCACCGCGTGTCATTTCCTACTGCCAAAGTGGAGAAAATACATACGAAAAATACACAAGACACATATCACATAGAATATCCAGTACAAGTTACACCCAGCAAAGTCGGGAAGAAAAAAAAAAAAAAAAAAAAAATTAACGAATGGAAAATTTGTACACGATTTAATTAAATTCGAGACATTCACAGATATACTAAAGAACTCATTCATTTCGCCAAAGGATAAAACAAAAATCATGTTGTTTCAATATGCGTCCCTTTTAAATCACAGCTGCTTCCCGAACGCTAGCTACTGCTATATAGACGTTAACAAAATCTGTTTCATCTCCATGAGGACGATAACTAGGTATGAAGAAATTACAATATCCCTAATCGATGAGCTGTATTCTTCCATCCATCACAGAAGAAGTAAATTAATTCAAGTTAAAAATGACACTTGCTTTTGCAACCGATGCTCACAAATAATTGACCAGGAAAGACACATCCTTTGTCCGTTCTGTAAATATTCCTACGTTAGGAAAGGGATCGATCCCAAGTATTTAAAAAATGCATATCATAGTGGGCATCATAATGGGCATCATAATGGAGGTAGGGATATCTTCCACTGGGGAGATGAGAGTGAGCCCTCCAGTGTTGGCGTCTTTCAGGGAGGGGCGATGCAGAAGGGGCAGACGCACAAACAAGTCATGAGTACACAAAGGGACAAGGTGAGCTCATACAGTGACACATCGTCCTCGGAATATGTCCCCTTCACACAAGAAAAAGTTTATCCCCAAAGGGAAGTAAATAAGAGTCCATACCATTACGCCCCGGGTGACGAAGGCGGCACGGGATGCTACTCGGGCAGACCTAACCAAATGGAAGGAGGCATTACCAACAAGAAGAACATGAGAAAAACGGGAAAAAATTCTCAAGAGGAACTTTCCATGCGTAGTGTGAGCAAAAACGATACAGAGCGTTTATCCATGTGTGCTCAAAAGAGAATGTCAACTGAGAGAATAACCACATGGGATGATACCTCTAGCATGGGTGAAGTTCCAGTGGGAAATTTTAATATACGCAGATTTGAAGAGGGTCTAAACATAGCAAATATTTTAATGTTCATTTGGAACACACAAAATGAGAGAAATGAAATTGGGTGTTGCAGATTTCACAATAATGAAGAGCTATGGATTTGTGATACTTGTGGTGAAGCAGTTTCTTCGTGTGCCCTACCCGTAGCAAGTGAACAAAATTTTACAAAGGTATATAAACTGTTGAGAGACATGATTAGTAGTAACCAATTAGATAGTGAACATAGTGTTGATTACATTTTAACTACCATTGAAAGATCGCTTATTTATATTATTGGTATTCTAGGAGAGAAGCACTGGCTATATGCATCCTTTAATTACCTAATGGCAGATTTATGCTTTTCCATTTGCTGCTACAGTTCAGATTCCTCAAAGTGGGATAGGTACCTGTTAAAAGGTTTTAATTCGTTTCAAAATTTCTTATGGTTTATTCAAACGAGATCTCCGCACTCCATTCACACCGACTTGGTACCCCTGGTGTTGAAATTTTTTCTTGTTTGTATTTATACATGCAATTATAAAACGCTGTATGAATTTGCGAGGTCAGGTTTTTTAGAATTGATAAGACAGAAATATGGCCCATGGAACATTCCTTTCATGTGTCTTTATCTTTCCTTTGAAATGTGCTATGCGCACATCAATCGCACGCTGCCCATATGCAGGGAAATCCTTTTGGTGCTGGCAAACATGACGAGGGTGCGGCTCTTCGAGGAGCTCCCTCCTTGGTAGTACATGCCGCCCCAGCAGGCGCGCTAACGAGTGATGAAGCGGGCGGCCAGAAGCGATTCGACGCACCTACACATCACGCCAATTTTTGCTCCCCATGGGGTCATTTCTTAACCTTTTTAAACAACACATGGAAATTTATTTAACACGAAAAACGTTGGGAATTCACGAGTGCGGAAAAGTTGTTAAGCACACACCCGGCAGGTGTCCGTCGCAAGGGGGTGAATTACAAGGGCACAGCGGCGAGCGTACCACTGCTGCGTCACTGCTGTACCGCTACTACGCCACTGCTGCACCACCGCTGCAGCGACACGTGCCCTCATTGCAAATAAAGCGACGTCATGAAAATGATGTCCCGGCGGAGGAGAGTGCATGTGGTCTCGAGGCGCTCCGCCAAGTCGACGTTCCCAAGGTACAGAAAGGCGATTTTTACCTTCCTGCAAAGGTCGTCCAAGCGCAAAATGGACCTCACTATGAGCCCTTCCTCCAACTCGGACTGCTCTAGGAGTTCAGCAAAAGAAACACCGAGAGCCCACTTGTACGCAATGAACATAATTTTAAAGCTGCACAATTTCCAGTGCTCTTCCGAGCTGATTTTCAAGCGAATAATTTTGTAGAATTCTTCAAATTGGCTGTGAATATTTGTCAAGGCCATTTTAACGTCCTGCAGATTAACAGTAAGATCTGGTGATTCTTCTATTTTTTTTTCTGGTGCAACAAAGCAAGACAGAACAGCTGCTATTTCGGGTGGGTTCAGATTATTCAAAACGTTTTCAAAGATAACTTGCGTGAGGGTAATTTCATCTGTCATGGTAATATAGCTAGCTATTTTTCCTTTAACCGTTAAATTATGGTCCTCGTCAATGAAGGAGAAATGCCTGAGGACGTCCAATCTTCCCTCCAAGTCTTCATACAAATTAAGAGACTTGGCGTTAATGTTTCGTTCAATATTTTCAATGTCGTTAATACAGTTGTTTCTTTTGCACACAAGTTCGTAATGCTTTTCTCTCATGTTACATGAATAGCATTGTGACTTTTTTAAGGCCTCCAAATAATCTGCTTGCTTTATTAGTACTGAGTAGAACTCACATTTTAGGGACTTGAGCATTTTGGTCAAAACGAACGGTTCGAAATTTCCCTTTTCTACTAGCCTATCTAATTCCATACTATACAGCAGCATATTTTTGGGGTTATTTAAAATGGCTGTTGTTTTTACATTTGGCAAAACGATGACTGTGTTTGTGATGATGGAGATGTGCTCGAGGGGTACGTTGGAGCAGACCACGAAGTGCTTCTTCTGCATATCCGTGTCGAATGAATTGTGGTGAATGATTTGAACCCCGGTGGGGGTGCTCTCCTTGGAAAAGAGGTTTCTATACTTGTCGAATATGTTTACATTTTCATGGGTCAATCTGTTCGTCTGCATCATGGGAGAGCGATTCATTTGTGCGAGCCGCTTCACCCCATTGGGGGTGTTTTCCCCTGCAGCCCCGTTCCCCATTTTTTGCAGAAATTCTTCATACGTCATGAAGTCGGGTAAGATAAAGAGGAAAAAGAATCTCTCATTGGACTCCTCCCCTGGTCCGGAGTAGTTCTGAAAAAAAATGCTATTCGGAGCAAAGTCCACCTTTTCGTTTTTTTTGCTGCTACTCTTGTCACACCCGAGGTAAACGCCGTAGATGGAGCTGTGCAGAGTGGCGATATTGTTCAGCAGCATAACTCTCCCGATGACGAAGGAGTTGCTGCTCTTGGTGGTGAATAGTTTTCTGTGTAAACTCAATCCGATGTGTTTAAGCTTGCTGTCAATCTGTACATAGTTCTCAATTGGCGAGACATAATTAACATCATTCGCATAGATACACTGCACTTGTTTTATATTTTGCAAAAGTTTTTTTTTTCTCTTCAAGTCTTTTTTAAAGAGAGGAATTTGAACAGCTCTACAACTTTCCAAAAATGAGCTGAAGAGCATTTTTTCAATATTTATTTGTTTATTGATAAGCAATTTTAAGATCATATTGTAGGTGACCTTAAATTTGCTTTTCAAGCTGACTGCTTTTTGCATGAGCATTTCGGTTAGCTGAACCTGGTCTGGAATTTTATCTGGACAGTAGATATACACATAGCCGTACTTGTCGGAACATCTCCTGCCTGCTCTACCAGACATTTGTGTGTACTCTGACGATGTGAGAATTCTTTTCTTCAATTGATCATGTTTATAAATAGAAGTAAAAACAACAGATTTGGCAGGCATATTAATTCCCATGGCAAAGGTTTCCGTTGCAAACAAAATTTTAATTAACCCTTTTGAAAAAAGTATCTCCACAATTTCTTTCAATATAGGAAGTAACCCACTGTGATGTATTCCAATTCCTTTTTCAAGCAATTTTGTTAAAATTTTAATTTGATTGAGTTCTCTATCCTGTGTGCATAATTTTGCTATCGATTCTTTAATGAACAAATGGACTTTGGACTTGTGCTTGTTGTGTAGGAAATTTAAATGGGGCATACTCTTGGCATATGTTTCACACTTTATTCTTGAAAAACAGAAAAGGACTACTGGCAATTTATTGTCTTGTTCTAATTTTTTTATAAGTGCCTGAAGTTTTTGTATTTCCGTTTTCATATTTGCTTCGTTTGCAAATAGTTTTTGTCTTCTTTTCTGTTTACAGTACTCGTTATATGCAATTGGTTGATTATTATTTGTAGGAGTACTTGTGGCCGTTCCTCCTTGCTGCTTATTCTTCCCATCGGGGTAGTTTTTCTTCGCACTTGGCGCCTGTTTGGCGTGGCCACCACTACCATGACCAGCATGCCCACCGTGTATTGCGTTGCTAGCCTGCTCCTTCTCCCTAACCTTGGTGTATATCTCCTTAAAAGCAGAGGAGTAAATTTTGTTCTTCTCGTCCATAATTTGAAAGATGGAATCGTAGGCATAAATGTAATGCAGCAGCGGTACGGGTCTCTTCTTCGTGGAGATGGAAATAATTTCCTTTTTCTTTGTAAATCCTACCCAATCAGCAAACTCGAGATAGTTTGGCACCGTAGCACTAAGTAGTAAAATTTGAACATGAGGAGGCAACATAATGATAGACTCCTCCCATATAAAACCCCTTTCATTATCATTCACATAATGGACCTCATCAAAAATGACGCAATGTATATTGTTAATTATATTGTCATTTATATAAAGTAAATTTCTTAAAATTTCTGTGGTCATAATTATGCAGTTAGCATTAACATTCATTTTTATATCTCCTGTTATTATACCTACACTTTTAAAAATATTTTTAAATTCATGGTATTTCTGATTACTCAATGCTTTTATGGGGCTGGTGTATATTGCCTTTTTGTTTAACTTGATAGACATGGCGATGGCATGTTCTGCTATTAAAGTTTTTCCTGCTGATGTGTGCGCTGCTACGAATACATGTTTGAAATTGTTCAGGTGTTTTATGGACCTCTTTTGAAAATCATCTAGTTCGAAATCGTAGCTTAAGAGAAGATCATTTTGGCTGAAGTTGGTGACGTCAGAATGGTTGTCCTCTATCACCCATTTTTTCCTTATGTACTTTACGTTGGCTTTATCGTCTGCGGTAGGGGCTTCCTCAGCACCACGTTCCTCCGGTTGGGTTTGCATCGCCACTGATGGAGTGGCATCTACCGTGACCTCCTCACTCTCGGGTAACTTCGCCTCTTCTGTTAAACCTCCCGCCGTGTCCTCCTCAACGCTCGCGTCAATTATGTTCTCCACTGCATTTTGAGCAGGAGTCCCCTCGGCGCCCCCCTTCACGTTACCGCACGGCGGACTTACATATTCCACAGGGCCAAAGGAACTAAAGTGGAAATTCTCATTCAAGGAAAGCTTCTCCCTGCATGCCGAATCATCATTTATTGCTACTCCCGCCTCGCAATATTTTAATAAAGTATCGTTGTACATAAAGTTACTAAGGTCATATTTTTCTACCATACTTTTGATGGAGAAATTGTCTACTACGTTGTTGGTGAGTCCGCTCATCACTTCGTTTATGTTAAAGCTAAGTCCACTGTCCATGACATTTGCGAAGGGGCTACTGTCTGCGTAATATGTATCATTGGGCCCCACATGTTCTCTCTTTTCGAAGGGGGCTTCGTCGTCGTTTTCAAGGGCATAACTGCACAGTTCGTTGTTCGGGTCGAGTAGAGGGTCGCTCAATCTCTTCACCGCGTCGTACGCCATGTCGGTGTAGTTTGCTATCCCTCCTGCAGCGTTTCCTATGTTCGCCGCGTTCGCCCCGTTCGCCATACTTGGCACATCCTCCTCCGTTGCGTCCACCTCCTCGTCATCTTCATCATCGCTGGTCCAGAAGTCCGAGAGCTTGGAGTATATATACGCCATCTTGGCCAAATGGGGAAAAAAAATGCCCCTCGGTGATCTCTCTAGAAAAGGTCTCTAATATATATCGTGCTTTTCCCTTTTCCTTCAACCTTGTTTAGATTTCAAGGGTGGCAGCGTTCAATTGGGGTTGATTTGCATTATTCATATATATATTTTTTTTGCACCCCCAGGCTTCCTACATAGGTAGGCCATTTACCGTTGTAAAGTATTTTATCACCTCATGGAGCTCCCCTATCGATATACCCCCATACGTGTATAGGGTGAGTAATCTCACGTGCTCGATGTGCTGGGAAATATTTAAACAGAGCGTAGCACGGGGGACCCGGCAACTGGGCATACAAAAATTATTGCAGGCAAAAAAAAAAAAAAAAAAAAAAAAAACGTTCGAGGGATATATGTACGCGAATGGATTATACAGTATCATTATGTGAACGTTCGTATCGGCACTTTGAAGCGTTTCTTCGCGCAGGCAGAAACGCTAAAATGGTAGCACGGTGCTTACTAAAACATGTATGTATAGAAAAAATAAATAAATATGGTGCAAAATGAAGTAAAAAAAGGAAGCTACTGCTTCGCGCGGGAAGAATAATCACCTGGCTATTAACAAAGTCCCGTTCAAGGAAATTTCTATATAAGGAAAGGTCACACGGGGAGCACGCAAAAATAATAGTATGTAAGCACGTGGACCAATATATACCTACGTCAGTTGGCCTTCTTTTTTGTAAGTCTCGCGCAGGTATATATTTGCTGCACATGTAGGGCGCGATCAACTCATGGGGGCTATATTTCCTTTTTTCCCAGTGTGTCAATACAGCCAAATGGGTAGAGAGACATGCGCCGCCACAGCACAACCACCCATGCTGCATCCCGTGATGAGTACAACTTTTAAAAGACCAAAATTGGGAGGAGAACTACATGGGGATCAGCAAAAAGGATTGTATATATAATGCTGAACAATGGCAGTAATGTGCATACACCTGTTGCTCTCCCACTCGGACTATGTTTGTCCGTGTACATATAACGGTTAACGCTTAAAGACAGGCAGACCTACAATTTCACTCTTGATGGTGCTTACTAACCCTGCGGGGGACCAACCCTTTACTCAGTTAACTTAACCACAATGGTGATACTAATGTGCGCATAAATAAATACTAGTCTTTTACTAATTCGTTATATGGATAAAAGGGTTATTAATTTTGTGGGGGATATATATAAAAAAAAAAAAAAAATGACAAAGCGGCTTTATGAAGGCCTTGTCCAAAACAACAAAAAATTGACAAAATAAAGTCACATCGATGTGTTCCTTCCACCATAAGGTGAAAAAAAAAAAAAAAAAAAAAAAAAAAAACACGGCAATACGATAAAAATAAGGACGTGTTACAACGGATAGGCCATTTGGAGCAGAGGGCGAACAGGTCACAACGCTAGATCGACTCATGCACTATCTGGCGTCCCTGTTCTTCGACGCCATTCTTGCGTGAACTTCCATGACCCGCCTAATGGTGGCAAAGTTCGTTTTCGATTTAGTCCTGTTCACTTTAAATATAGGGGCATATCTTAGCATGTCTGGGAAAATCATGAAGGACACACTTCCTCCTCGTATGTACACTTGCTGCAGAAGGGGGGGGGGGGGGGGAAGAGCACACATATAGGTAGAGGTTCCACACAGGGGGAAGGATGAGAGATGCTTAAGTGTGCCTCCGTTGACACCTTTAAAGGTATACATGTTGTTCGCTCCACAGAACGCACGTTTTGCATCTCGTATGTGACTTTTTCTCTTACCTCCAGGAGAACCTGCTTGCCGTCCTTTTTAACCACAGATACGTTTTCTAGAAGGCAGTTCATATTATCCTCTGCGAAAAGCTAAAAAAAAAAAAAGGGGAGACATGAGATATGCCTCGATAAGAATCATCCTCGCACATATGTGCGGTTATACATGGTATGCATAAATGGATACACTCATATTTAATGTGCCTAAGAAGATAAGTGCGTTGCGTGGGTTACTCGCGACAGACGCGCTTACCAATGTGCCCCTGTAGAGGACTCCTGCCTTGGTCTCCACCGAAATTGTATGGCCTATTCCTTCGTGCAGCAATTTTATGGGTATCCCTACCGACATCCTGTTCGCTGCTCAGTACGCGCTGCACATATATACATATATATATAGGTACACGTCCTCGTGTTGTCGTATCGGGATAACAGAAAAGGTATAAAAGCCCTGTGCAGTTCTACCCTTCTGTTGTTACTATTTATCTGGTATATTTTTTTTACCTATATGTATAATGCCATCAATATAGGGGATCCCTTTTTTCTTTTCTTTTTTTTTTTTTGGAGAGAGGAAAAAGCAACTTCAAACTGCCAATTTTGCTTCTTTAATTTTGTCCCCTTTTTACGTCATAACGGGTTGAGATAGCTGCCAGAATCGCAAGGAAAAAAAAAGCAGAAAAGGGGAAAGCTTTAATAAAAAGGAAAAGAAACAAAAAAAACAAAAACTTGTTATATTCCGTTTATACCCGATCAAAAACTCTCGTGCAACGTTCCATTTTATGTAGCCAAATGAATTCTTAAAAAGGTCAAAGCAGCAATCTTAACGTTTAATCTCGAAATGAGGAAAAAAAAAAAAAAAAAAAAATGCAGCACAATGACACAATTGAGTTAAAGAGAGCACCACAAAAAGGGGGCGTAGCATCTAAGTATTGCTTAATATCACTTCGGTGCGCACTTCACCGCGTAATATGTAGCGTATCTGTTGTGGCGGATGTTAAGCACACTATATTCTCCGTCGCTGCCTGAAAAAAGGGGGAAAATAATAAAATGGGCTTTATAAAGAAGAAGTTCATTTTTATGTCACCCCTTTTTTAAGGTAAAAATATACCCACGAAAATGTACACATTTGAGATGCCCATGTGATAATGGCTCAAAATTATATTCGACACAAATGAGACCGAAGCATCTACCTGTCGTGACCTCGCCGCGTAGCAGCAACACGCACGATGCGTATGTATGCTGTGTTAGTGGTCACGTTGGTTTACTTTTATTTATTTTCCTTTGGCGCACGAATAAGCCTAACCCTATGGACAGCCATGCACGCGTAAATGACCTGCTTAGTTTCTTTTTTATGTGTGGGCACACATGACAAGTGGCGCGAAAACACATGATGTCATTCGTTAGTGGGTTGCGGTTGGTCCGCACGTGTATAAGCGGTTATGCGTGTGGGTATATGTGTAGGAAAGTTTTAGCAGCAAAATGCAAAGATTCGGGTGCGGCTCACGAGGGTGCACGTGAACATATCGGCGACGTTAAAACAAAAAAACACAAAAAAAAAAAAAAAAAAAAAAAGAAAAGAAAAGAAAAAAAAAGAAAAGAAAAGAAAAGAAAACCAAACGGATCGAAAAAAAAAAAGTGCCGCAAAACGGAAAAGGGGGGCAACATGAAGGATGCCGTCTGCATTTAATAATAACCGGGGGCGACGCCTCCATTCATAACGTTCCGGGACACACTGCTGTCCGCGCTGTTGCTCGGATCATTTGCGCTACCGTTGCCCCCGCCGTTGCCCCCACCGTTACCCGCACCGCTACTCTCGCACGGGTCGGCGGTCTTCGCAGCGTCATCACGGTTGAGCGGCGCACTGGGCGTGGCGTTTTCGACGCTACCCGTGCTGTCCAAGTTCAAATCCTGCGCACTGCTGTTATTGTGCGTGTTGGCTTCATTCATGTCTTCCTGCCCAACATCCCCCTCTACAGGAGCAGAATCTCCTGCATTCACCACAGAATTATCCACTACGGTATTATCCACCACGTCATTTGCACGTTCGTAATTAGCGGCCTCCCCGTCGCCATCCCTGTTGTATTCAAAGTTGCTGTTTTCCAACTGCATATTATTATCCATGATCAATTTTGAAGAAAAATTATCTAGGGTGCTCACATCTTCATCTTTCGTTTTAGAAAGCTTCAAACAAATGGGTAAAAATATCCAATTTTTTCTCTTCATATAAACATACATAACTGTTCTTCCTACTTGTAGAGCTATAAATTTGTTTCGTCTAATGTTAAAAAAAACTGGATTCCTTATCTGAATGAGGGTACCAAACTTACTTTTACAATCTTCTATATAAAAATTTCCATTATAAAATTTAATCATGGCATGGAATCTGGACACGGAAATATCATTTACACGTACATCTGTGTCATGGCCTCTACCCATACGAACACATTTGGTGTTAGCCAAACTAACAATGTAGAACCCCTTGTTCCTGTCATTCATTAATTCGATAATGATATATGGAAGCTCTGGCTTGGGGATTTCATACAACTCCAAATATTTGTTTTGTGCATATATGTAAGTTGGGTAAGGAAATTTACACAGTTCACAATTTAGTTGCTTCCAGAAGAAAGAGAATGAAGAACTCTCACTTCTAACATTTAATCTTCCTCTCATCCATGTTCTTATACAATTCAAATGCACATACTTCATAGAACCTTTACATTTACATGGTGATATCAATGGGTTATTTTCATTTTCATATTCACACAGACATATTCTACAGTTGTACAAGCTGGGCGTCCCCCCTTCACTTTTATTTTGCTGAGTCAGATCTTTCGATTGGCTCGTTTGACAATCGGTCATGGAGGAGACCTTTCCTTTACTCCCACAGGATATGCTCATACATGTGGTTCTCTTCTGCATCAGTCTCATCGAATCATCATTCTTATTACTGCCACTTCTTCCCTCTTGGTTGTCTTTTATATTTCCCAATTCATCACTACAAGCCACAAAACCTACAACGTTGTTACTGCTATTGAGGGTGACGCCTTTTTCTCTTGGCGACTTTCCAGAAGGGCTATTATTATTTCCACTGGCTTTACTATGTATAGAACTGACTTCCCCTGTTAGGTTCCCTACATTAGGGCTACGCACTGAATTGTTTGAATTATCCCCATGCGCATCATAAGGGGGTTGTTCTGAGTTAGACGAAGCTATGTGTTCATTTGCCCCGGTATAATACCTTGTCTGAGTTACTTCCCCTTCGCGTTTGTCCCTTTTCGGATTCGTCCCACCACCACCATCGTGGTCCATTTCACCTACCGCACCACTGTCGTTTTTTTTCCCACGCGAGGCCTTCATACCTTGTTTGTCACTAAGGCTCCCATCTCCAGGTTGCGTTTTCCCCTTTGAGGGTTGGTTTAACACGCCACCAAATGGAGATTCACTGACAACTGCTACGTCTTCTTCATTCTGCCCGTTCTTACTTTGTGTACCTCTCCGTCCCCCATTCAACACGTTCCCCTTAAAAAGATAAAAATCATCCACGTAGGAATTGTTGGTGGCTGAATTGAGATCACTTTCTTGTGGTCTATTATTCGCTTCACCGCTATTACCGTTGTTACTTCTACCAAGAAATTTATTATCTCCTTCTCTGGGCAGCTCGCTCCCCTCTACCGCATCGCTAGCATCGTCCACATCGTCATACAAATTGTAGCTATCCTCCATACCGTTACTGACTGCGCCACAATTAATGCTCGCATTTTCGTCTTCCTGCAGTTGGTTACTTCCGAGGCAAATGTGCGGGTTGATGCTTCCGCTTACACAGTTGTGTGAAGTGGTGTTTTTATTAATTAGGGCGTTGCTTCCCGTGGGATTTTCCATTCCTAAACCCTGTATCCCGTGGCGAACTCCTCCAGGGCCATTACCCCCTGGGCCAACCATTTCTGGGGTGTCCGTTTCGCATTCATCTTCGCCGACGGGAGACAAAGATTTGTTGTACTCCCTTTCTTGCTGCACATTGGTGATAATTTTTTTTATTTTTAATTTAACTCTGCCCAGTTTTATAATATCATCTTCGTGTAGTATGGAGCTTTTGTTCTTTAGGTACTTGACGATGACCCAGAAGTTGTCTGCGTCGTTTCCTCCGCTGTCCTCCTGGTCACCCTCTTCAGGTGCGTTGTTGCGCCCGTTGTTGCGGCCATTGTTACGGCTGTTGTTACGGCCGCTGTTACGGCCACTGTTACGGCCACTGTTACGGCCACTGTTACCGCTACTATCACCTGCGTTGTTATTGCCTCCGTTATGTTCATTGTTATCGCCGCCGTCATGTGCCTCATCGTTATTGTCATTGTTGAGCACATTGTTGCTTCCTTGCGGCTGGCCGACTGTGGTCCCCCCGGCAGTGCTGGACCCGTCGTTCGTGCTCTCAATACAAGGTATTAACTGGTAATTATTATTTATATACTTTATTTTACATATTAATTTCATATTTGAATTATTTAACATCATTTTATTTATTTCCTCTTCATTTTTAATTTCCACGTTAATGTCGTCCTTCAAAATGTAGTAGTAATTGTACAGGCACTTTATCTTAAAACATTTTTTATAAAAATTTTCGCTCTCATAGTCGAACAGCCCATGGCTGTTGTTAATCCACGTGTAGCAGTTGACATTTATAATGTAATTTTTTGTTTTGACGCTTCTGTTTTTTCTACCATTTATCATTCTTCTGTACTTATCCGGATGTTTTTTTTTTTTCTTCTTTTTTTTTTTTTTTTGTGGTACTGTTTGCTTGGGATGGGCTTTTTCTCCCTCTCTTTCTTACTCTTTGTCTGTGTGTGCTTGTGTGCCTGTTTCTCTTTTGGTATAAGTTTGTGTGTTGTATGTTTGGCTAGCCGGGAGAGTGTCAACCTGCTCGCGCCTGCCTTTTAATGTGCGCTGCGTGGATACACGTGCAGACAGAACGCGTGTAAAATTGTGTAATAGAGTACAGGGTAATTATCCACATAAATAAACTTAAAAAATGGGAGGGATCAACACGCACATAAATTTTTTAAAATGATTAATTCGACGGGGGGTATTAGCAAAATAAAAAAAAAAAAAAAAAAAAAAAAGCTAGTTGATATGTACATATATGCCCCTGCTCGTTGCGATAAACAGACACGCGTGGAACTTTTGCACTGCCTGTGCGTTGGCAAGGAGTACACTTATAAATGACACGTCGCTAAATGGAATCTGCCTGGATTGTTAACTTATTCTGCTATGTCTAGTTTTTTGCTGCTTTTTTCCCAATGCGCGTCAGTTGGTAATCCCTTTCGAGGATGCTTCAAATGGTTAGGTTTTTAAGGAACCTCTCGTAGGGCTGCAAGGGTAAATACGCCCAGACGCACGTGTGCTGCATACACACAACATACGCAGTGTTCTGCATACACAGAGCTGCGCGCAAGATTATCCAAATTGAGCAAACGAAACAATTCAGAAGGGGCACACACTGTTCATCTGTCTAACCCGATGGCTGATCATGGGCCAAATTGGGGCGGCAGTTCAAACTATGTGAAAGAGTGAACACATGGCTCTTACGCACGTGTGCACGCGTATTCGCTATTTCCTTTTAGCTCGCTGCTACACGGGGCGTCCGTAAGTAACACGTGGCTCCCACGGCTTCCTAGTTCTTGAATAATTTGGTTAAGTGATTGTTACTCGTCACTTGTTCGATGCTCGCTTGCTTACACAAATTCTAGCGCGCCCGCGTGTGTGCACGGTGGGCGAATGAACTGAAATTAACACGAACACACTGGTGATTGTGCATATAAACGTACGTGTAAATTTTTTTTTTTTTTTTTTT